CTATTGCTTCAGAGTATTCTGCGGGAATATAACTTATCTGAAAAAGTTTTTTCATTTGGTTTTGATAATGCTACTAATAATACTGCTGCTATTCCTAGACTTAGAGAAATTTGCCCACCGTCTACGACTATGGGTAGATTTCTGCATCAACGGTGTGCCTGTCATGTTTTAAATTTATGTGTTCAACAGGGACTACAAGCTATGGGCGGAGTTTTGACAAATATTAAAGAAGGAATTAAAAAAATTTGGGGGGCTCGTCTTATTTCGAGATCCTGGAAGATGTTCTGTAAGTCTAAGGGTAAAAAAGAAATAAGTTTTGCCAGAGATATCAACATTAGATGGAATAGTACTTACAAATTGATTGCACAGATCCTAAGATATAAAGAAGAACTTGCTGAATTTTTTAGGGATGAACTTCGTATAATCATTAATCCTTTTGAATTTGTTATTGTTGAAAAATTGAATGTCGTATTAGAAGTTTTTAATAACGCAACTCTTACTTTTTCCCATGTTTACCAACCAACTACAAATACATTTTTTAAAGAGTGCATTACAATCGCAACATGTTTTCGTGAAAGTATGGCTGATCCAGATTTGTACCCTTATGTCTCTCCTATGAGAGATAAATGGTGTACTTATTATTTGTACATTCCTGATGTAACGCCCTACAAACCGGCCTAGTTTTAAATAAATAAATATTATTTATTTATTGAGACTCATTATTTTGAAATTTATAAATATTGAGATTTCGACCTCTTTAAATGGCTTTGCAAAACTTATGTATTTTAATATAAAAATATGTTTTAATAACGGACCTCTCAACATTAATTAAATAAATTAATTAATGATTGGGGTGGACCCGGAAATTTGAAAATAAAGTTCTTAGAAAAATTATTTGAACATGTCATTAAATTCGTTTTGACTGTCTGATTCTGGAAACACAAATGGATCTCAATTCGGACCCGTTTAGGGGGAAAAGCGCGTACCGTTCTGGTCAGATTTTAATATAACGGAGTAAATAAATATTTGTAACTCCCAAAACCATTCCACACGCCACTCATCCTTATTCATTCTTCCATTTTTAATTCTCCATTAATACTCATTATACCACCACCATTATATACAACCCTCTCTCCTTCATCCCTTCACCATTTTGTAATCCCCCAACACCATTAACACACAACCATCCAACTCCCTCTCTCTCCCTCTTCCTTACGGACGCCGGCCAGTAGAATCCCAAAAGACGACGGAGCTCCGGCGAAGAGAAAGAAGGAGAAGGACGAGAAGAAGAAGGAGGTGTCCACGAGAAACCATTCGCCGTTCAACGTTGTCAACTATTCGTTCATCTCATTTCATCGTTCCGTCAATCCCTTCAACTAGAGGTGAGTAGTTGTCCCTCTAATTCTAGAACATCAAGTCATAATCTATGTTGTTATATTCATAGGAATATCGTACGCAACCTACGTAGAATCTATGCATGTTCGTAGGTTAACCATCAAGCATACGTGTGTCCATGTTATCAAGTTATGTACCCGTTAATATAAACATTTTGAAACTCCCTATATTCATGGAATACTTAACATGTAATCATAAACGTTCGTTTCAAAAACTCCCAATGTATAGATGATAAGCAAACAGTCAAAATGGGAATCAGCGTGCCTTGATAATCGATTTACAGAACGGAATAATCGACTATCAGGTCACGCTGAACTCTTNCATACGTGTGTCCATGTTATCAAGTTATGTACCCGTTAATATAAACATTTTGAAACTCCCTATATTCATGGAATACTTAACATGTAATCATAAACGTTCGTTTCAAAAACTCCCAATGTATAGATGATAAGCAAACAGTCAAAATGGGAATCAGCGTGCCTTGATAATCGATTTACAGAACGGAATAATCGACTATCAGGTCACGCTGAACTCTTTAGTTGATCCAGCATAGTGTGACAATCGATTATCACATAAGTGGTAATCGATTATCAGGCCTTGCGGATTCTGGAGTCAGAGCTGGTTCACTTGATAATCGATTATCACATAGGCAATAATCGATTATCAGGGCTCTCTGAACTTAGGACTTCCCAAACAAACCAACTTGACAATCGATTTTCATAAGGTGACAATCGACTATCACAGTCTGCAGGACTTTGGGGACAGAAGCTGCACAGCATGATAATCGATTATCAACAATAGACAATCGATTATCAGCCAGTTCTGAATCTAAGGCCATCATGTTGAACAAATTGTTTTCATACGGAATCAAACATATATGTATGCGTTGAATTTAATTTCATTCTTCAATCAATGCATTCAATTCATCATGTTCGTCCTAGACCCATGTCCTAGGGTCATCATCATGTGCATACCACTGTAGGGAGGTCAGGCTATCGTGCGCCTACTACAGTGGGCCCGTCCAGGAACCTTTGGGATCCAACGGGTTTTCATCAGGTGGGCTTGTGTACGTACATGGTAGTCAGGCTACGGCTACCACCCAGTTTTTGCTAGTTCACTTGCGACGTTTTGTCGAGCCCGGCTCATTACCGGAGTGCAGGGGTGATCCTGTCAAGTGAGACTAAGTCAGGGATATCATGCATCAAGTCATATTGTCATCATGTATGTTACATGTCACGTCAACATTCAATGTGGTTGTCATCATCATGTATGATTCCCATCATGTCCATATTCAATGTGGTTGTTATTCATTTTGTTATGTGTAATAATATCCCATCAAGTGCAAATTAATCAGTTAGCAAACATGTGGTTTTCCGTACGTTAAGTACAGGCATTTGTATGTGTATAACCATATGGGTTATCACTTCATGTTCTTTTGTTAGATTCACTCCTCAGCTTTTGCTGAGCGTGTAGTTGTTTTTGCTACACGCAGGTAGACATGACGGTGCAGGTGCTAACCCTGGAGGACAGTGATGGTGGGAAGATGGGCGGCGCATGGACAAGTTCAATAATTAAATACATTTAATTAATTAATCATTTGGGCATGAACCCACCATTTGTCGTTTTACTCATTTATTTA